TAATTCTTTAGTCCACATTATTCTTCTCGATATCTTTAGATCAGTATCTTATATACCCTTATCACTATTACACTCAGTACATTCAACAGTCCTCTTCTCCCTCCTGAATCTGTAGATTTCCTTTTCTTCTCTCTTTACTGTTCATTGATTTTTTTTCTTTTTGCTTTCCTTATGAATTTGTTTATAAAAACTGCATTTTCCCTTTTCCAAGTCTTTGCTTTCTTGATGATGAGTGTATTTGTTATTGTTTTAATTTTTTTTCTGGGTGTTTGAAGCTGAGAGGGAAGATTACTTGTAATGTGCACTGTCTCAGACTTTGCTACTGAGTTCTGCTTCACTCAGGCACTTTCTTTTCAATTTTCCCTCTACTCAATGCTTTTGATGTTTTGCATAATTTGGCCCTAAATAGGAAGCTTACAACAGTCAATTAGCTTAATACAAGTGAAAATGGCTTCTTCCTGAGCTATCAATTCTGGGATTGGACTAAACTTAATAGTTTAGCTTAATGGTATAGAAAACGAAGTTTTTTACACAAGATTCTGGCAAGAAATTGATGTATTTGAAGCCTTTGACATTGTTGTTTGAAGATGTGTAGAACCATTGTTTAGATTAGCCCTCTTTAAACCTGTATGCAAAGGGCACTCAAGCTTTTCAGTGTATCATGTTCTCAATTTTGAGTTCCATTTTGTTCAATCATAAATTGTACCGTGAAGGTCGATTCTTTCGATGTTGTCTTTTTCGTATAATTCACATAGAAATTACTGTCTATTCTTTTGCATCTCTAGCTTTGGTGAAGGATTCATGAATATCAAATGCCCTGATTTGTTTTGTCTGGTGCAATACAGTAAAAGAGTAAAGTAAATTTTTCCCCAACATGGAGCAATATGAAGTATTAGAGCAAATTGGGAAGGGAGCTTTCGGTTCAGCTCTTCTAGTGAGGCATAAGCATGAAAAGAAGAAGTAAGATTTCTAGTACGGCCGAGTCCGTCCTCTACATATTGTTAACACTGTCATATATGGAATATATGAGAAGATGAACAATTTATCATGGTTATTTGCTTCATCTTTTGACAGTTGACTTCTCCTTTCTCTTATCTATGGCAATGTTCATAAGGTATGTGTTGAAAAAGATTCGTCTTGCTCGCCAGACCGATAGGTCAAGGAGATCTGCTCATCAGGAGGTTAGTATGATTTAGTCATAGTTCTTTTCTAATCCTTTGTATTTTATTGAGGCAAACGTGAGTGAGAAATGAACAGAAAAGACAGATATCGATCGCTTTCTATTCGATTATCGTGTTAGCATTTTTGGACATGGAACAACGTTGAAGTTTGCCTGGACCAAACTTGTACTAGAGTTGTTGTCTAAAGTAGCTTCCCAACATCTTGTTTCATTGGTATGAACCTAGTTTCATTCAATCTGTAGACTGACCTTTCAATTTGTTCATGTAGATGGAGCTCATTTCTAAAATCCGAAATCCATTTATTGTGGAGTACAAAGATTCCTGGTTGGAAAAGGTATCATGTCATAATTGTCACGACATAAATATCGAACCTTCCCGAATAGCCTAACACGAGTTTGCATACGTGTTTGATAACAGGGTTGCTATGTATGCATTATTATAGGTTATTGTGAAGGCGGAGACATGTAAGTTACATTTTTCTGCTGATGCATAGATTTTTGAGATAGTGCAGTTATTTTTTGTAATCGAAGAACCTCGCAAGAATTTAGCAAATCATAATTAGATTTTCGGTATAAAACAGCGCTGAAACCATAAAGAAAGCAAATGGCATGCTTTTCTCTGAAGAGGTTTGTTTATTCTCATGCTGTTAACTTCAGTTCTTTTTGTTACTCTGTTCCCGTTCCCTCGTGCCGAGCTTTATTCATCGAAGAATTGTAACTCAAAGTTTTGCTTCTGTCCATGTTCAGAAACTGTGCAAGTGGCTTGTTCAGCTCCTCATGGCTCTTGACTATTTGCACTTTAATCACATTCTTCATCGCGATGTCAAGGTTCATGGCACACTTTATGCTCTTGCAGGTGTAAATCTCTTCAAAAATTCCCAAAGTAGCTTTAATTAATGAGATGTTATTTCATTTTTTTCAGTGTTCAAACATCTTCTTGACAAAAGATCATGACATACGCCTTGGTGAGTGATTTTCGGTTTTTTCGCACATAATTCCTTCGATGGAGTATACAGTTTCTCCTAACACAAATGTGATCAACACCGATGCAGGTGATTTTGGACTTGCCAAAATTCTGACTTCAGATGATCTTGCCTCCTCTGTAAGTAAAATATGAATTACATAACCATTGAGAATTAAATGCATCACTCGATTTTTTCGGTCGTAACTAGATTTTCTTTTTTGAAGGTTGTTGGAACTCCGAGCTATATGTGTCCCGAGCTTCTGGCCGATATACCGTATGGTTCTAAATCAGATATCTGGTCATTAGGTAAACATGCTTCAGCCGACGATGCTTGTGCTTGTCAATCAGTCTCTATAACACGTCTCGAGTTTTTATCTCTATGTGTTTATATGACTAGAAAATATGTTTTTTCCAGGGTGCTGTATATTTGAAATGACTTCTCTCAAGCCTGCATTTAAAGCATTTGTGAGTTCTTGAACCCTTTCTTTTGTAATTATTTGCAGCTTGTTGCATATACACAGCATTTTGCTAGTCTGGTTAGGCCTTCTTAGACAAGGATTCCGATAACATACGGATTTGATTATTGCATATAGTCTTTACAAAATATTCCGTTTATATATGGTCCCGGACCGTATCGACTCCCAACTTTTACGGGGCTGCCTTATCGGACATTCTGTTTTGTAGGCAAGTATATTGTTTGTAATGTTTTGAGCTGTTGATTGTTAGAAGTCTTAGATACAAACTCGGAATCACTGTGTTTTATATTCGTTTTCGATTAATCTTAAATCTCTTGAGCAGGATATGCAAGCACTGATAAACAAGATCAATAAATCAATAGTTTCTCCGCTTCCGACAAAATATTCCGGTGCCTTGTAAGCCTCGGTTTCCTTCTAAAACACTCGTTTTTTTCCTTGTGAGCTTCATTTACGAACATGTCGGAGTTTCGGATGACGAATTATGTCGGTCTAATTATCGTGTCGATTTTCTTTTTAGCCGTGGCCTTGTTAAAAGCATGCTGCGCAAAAATCCTGAACTCAGACCAAGTGTATGTACAACTCTCCCCTCAAGTTGAACGGCAAATCGATATATAAATGGTTTCGGAATGTGTTTATATATTTCCTCTCTTCCAATGTGTTTATCGGTTTTCAGGCTGAGGACCTGCTCAGGCATCCGCACCTGCAGTCTTATGTTGTTAAAGTTCATCATAAAATTAATAATCCTAGAAGGAATACTTTACCCGTGCTTTGGCCTGAAACCAATATCAAGAAAACCAGATTTTCGGATCCCGTAGATACCCGCTTCTCTGTTTACAGGGAGAGGCGCCAATCGTTCGATAATGATAGGACTTTAAATCCGAGCATATCTGGAGCGGAACAAGATTCTGTTTGTTCTACCAAAGGAATGCGTCACAAGGCACCGGATTTTCTGAATAGAAGGTTAGAAGATCTGTGTACTGATAGCAGCCAAGAAGGAACAGTTATTTGCAAGCCAATTACTTCGAAACTTTTAAGTGCAACCAAGACTCCGAAACGTTCTCCGACAAAAGCTTCTGCAACTCCCAAGAGAAAGACAGAGACTTCGAGAAACTGCGACTCGGTAAATTCTATTGTGCAAGACATTCATAGAGATTGTTAGTTGTAACGTTTTCTTTGTTTCGAAATCTGGGTTTTTACTGTTAATTGCATTGTGTGTACAGTTTCATTTTTCACGCACTCCGGTTAAAAATCCTCTCCCCTCAACTCGAAGAGCTTCTTTGCCGCTGCCAGATCCTTGTAGATCTAATGCCGGCATTCTTCACTGCATACAATCACCGGATGTTTCTGTCAATGCTCCTCGAATTGATAAGATAGCTGAATTCCCGTTAGCCTCATATGAAGATGCGTTCTTCCCCATGAACAAAACTTCACCAAAATCTGCACAGGGCTTCTCTAGCTCGCCCCAACTTGTTGACCATTCGATCATGAAAGACAAATGTACGGTTCAAATATGTGATCAATTGTCTATAAAGCCCAAGTTCGCTGATGCATGGCAAGGAATTCAACGCAGCATGTTTCATGCGGATGGAGACGATGCAAGTGTTTCCTCTGATCAAAATGCAACTGCTGGAGCATCTAGCCGTACCTCATCAGACATGCGGAGACGAAGGTTTGACCCTTCATCGTTCCAGCAACGTGCTGAGGCATTGGAAGGATTGCTCGAATTTAGTGCGAGGTTATTGCAGCAAGAGAGGTATGATGAGCTTGGTGTGCTACTAAAGCCATTTGGACCTGGAAAGGTCTCCCCTAGGGAAACTGCCATCTGGTTGACTAAGAGCTTTAAGGAGAACACTGCCAAGCCAGAGTACTAATTCCGATGAACCGATTCTGTTTGTATCATATCGGTAGCTGTAACATGTACCAATCTTTTAGAGTTCAACTTATCACGTTTTAGGTAACTATTCTAGTCGATAGAACCGTAGTAGAAAGGCATTTTAGTTTTCAAAGAAATGCTAATTGTTAGCTATAGGCTCTAGTTGATCTTCCTGCACCATCACAGTTACCCCTTATGCATCAAGTTCCATAATTTTCCTCAATGGATAATGGGGTGCAAGTAGATACCGAACGAACTTATCGTCTATTTTTCGCTTGTTTGTTTATATTCCTCTATCCTGATTGATACAGCATGTTCATCTAAAACTAGTAATAAGGGAAATGGTAACCTTGATGACTGAACTTTTTTGGTAATGAAAAAAAAAACAGTACGAGAAAAGAATTCTTTTGGGGTGATAAAACTCCCAGAGGCTCCAGGTCATAGGAAAGCTATTTCCAACCATGTCTGCAGGGATTATATTCGTGTATTAAACATACAACTAGTGTCTGAAGTGAAAACAGTGAGCCGAGTGATCCAGAAACATGTCCTCTTGGCTATAAGATTATAAATACTAGTTCGAAAAAGATGTGCTAGTTGGCACATGGAGTAAAGTTTGTCAAATGTATAAAAACATTTACCTTACATGTACCCACAAACGAGAACCAATGTACCGGAATAAACCTTGTTTTCTCGTTCCTGATTAACATGGAGGGTTGATCCTAATCTCATAAACTATATGAACGGCAACAAGTTTATTAGTTCAGTGTCTTGTGGAATGCAACCTGCAAATGCAGCAAAGAGAAAAGTAAGATGACGTTTTGTTCTGTGGTATGATTGTGGAAATAAATTCTCAATCCTATGATTCAGAACTGAAGAACAAAAGAAACAGTTAGGCAAAGTGCATACAGAAGTCGATGTCTTGAGAAGCTCTCGAATGGCCATTGTGGCATAACAAGAAGCAGGAAGTGTGAAGGCTAATTTGAGAGCTTTCTGAGGTTCCTGAGAATTTGAGTCAGGTGCAGAATGAAGTTCCAGAGGCTCGGCTTCTCTAGAAACCTCCACCTCAACATTATCAGTTGAAAACTTTTTGTAATCATCTACTTTGTCTGGATGATCAAATGGCTCTTCACCTTCGGTTCCATTTGTCAAATGCTCTTCTTTGACCAGGTTCAAAGGTTTAGTTTTGGCAATTTTGTCTAAATCAGTCTCCGACAATGCTATATTTCCGTCTGTATATGACAACAATTCCCTGAAATAACATAAATGATGTTGGTCTACAATTTGCCTACTCACCTAAAAGAATAACACTTCAAGAAAAGATGTTAAGAAAAGAAGACCATACCATTGAAAGTCTATCGGCTTCTGAAAAACACGCCTGTAGCTTCCAGTCATGCTGGTTATTGAAAATTCCCTGCAACGGAAATTTAAAAAGAAAGATGAAAATGGTGATGGAGATGGCAGTGGGAACAAAATTCTCGGGGAAATATAGAGATGGTTTCAATCATGAATACATACTTGGTACTATGGACGCTCTCTGTCAAGGAGATGCCATCCTGATGAATAAAACAAAAATGTATAGAACCACAATCTGTATTTAATATATATATATATAAATAAAGATATCAAACCTTCTTTGCCATATCATGATAAACATCGGTAACCTCGTTCGTTGGATAAATAATTCTAGAACTGCCAAGGAAACATGATAACATTGTCAGGAAAGAAACAAGTAACAGTTCATTACAGAAATTATATAAGCAATGTAAAACCTTCTACGACGACTTTGATATTCCCTTACCCAGGCATAGGAAGGACGACATCCTCAATAGTATAAGTTCCAGCACTGATATCTGCTGCAGTTATGACCTGAGAGAAAGTGGAAGCTATCTTAAATTTTTTGAATTTAGTTTCAAAAGGTTGATGCTAAGTGAACATAAAACTATATGCTCTGACTCTTCATTTTTCTTTAAGTTTCCATATCCGACACACGTCCAAAGCATATGGATATGGTGGTATGAGGATATGAGTATATGATTATCCAAAGACCCTCCAAATACATGGAAAAACTTCAAAACATTAAACATGCCCGTTGTGTTCACATATCCGAATCTGGAACTCACATCCCAATCCGAGTAACATAGGCATGCAGCAGATCACTAGCTAATGGCACCATAATCTGAACATCTTTCACATTTACTCTTGCCACCACATCGGAATTAGGAAAGAAATTATCATCAAGGGTATTGAATAAAATAAACTTTTTTGACGTCTTGCCACCAAATCGAAATTAGGAAAGAAATTATCTTTAAAATTTCCTTTAAAACCTCTGAGTTTACAATTTAAAAAATTTAGAACACTCTAAATGAAAAAAGTGATAACTGACCTTAACGAGATTATTTTTCTCTAGTGGAAGATCTTTTCCAGATATTTCATCTACTTGACTACAATCATCTGCATCTTCAAAGCTAGCATCTTCATTTTCAGATGGTACAACTTTCGTTTTTTCCACATCATCCCCTTTGATATATACCAAGTCTCCCAATACAACTTCATTGCTTCCTGCATATGGTGGGTTAACAGAATAATGTTAGATCAGTTAACTAGAAACATTTTTAAAGTGATACAATAAACAGCAAACCCAGTAATGGCTTTCTTCCTGCGTACCATATTTTTGCACTCTCACGCTTGCTGCATGGTTCCACAGATAACTTTGGTAACTATGTACATACCTGACCAATAGAAAAGAGATAATCTAAGACTCAATATCTCAATAATTATCTTAACATAATTCCTAACATCAATCAATTAGGATAAGGTATTCAATTTAACTAACTGACTCATGCATTGACATGAATCACACAAGGGTAAACAAGCACTCTGTAGGTAAAAAAAATCAAGTTACTGAAGTAAACAGGATATCAGTAATTAAATAGCATGCACATATAAACAGTCGAGTTTGATATTAAACATGCTTCCAGAAAATAGATAGAGTAATTTGCCAGTTCAAGAATCTGCATTCAGTAACTTTAAAATTAGTGGAAGCTGCGCTAAATTGACTTGGTTTCTATTATCATGTGTTTCCCGTTCAATATGTTGGAGCAATCCATGCTCAAGGTAATGTGGTTGCTAACAGTAAAATAAAACTGGAAATTAATGGTATCACAATCTCATATTATCACAAAAGCATGATTGGTTTAAACAAGAAATATGCGACAGTGAGAGATGAATACACAAGAAAAGTAAAAGATTGAGCCTGAATCTACTTATATGGTTAATACACCAAAAAGGACCAACGATGAAAACTTAGAGCACACCATGGTCATTACTCTATGACGGTAACTGTTTTAGAATTAAGAAAAAATATATTCCCCACTTTCCAATACATCAAGCACTTACATCATTCTCAAAGTCCTAGGTATAGATTTCAAGGCTTGCAAGTAATTCCCAGGACATTTCTTCAAACACTGCAGCTGTATGAGAATGTAATGGGGGGGGGGGGAACAAATATTCATTTTTACCATGAAACATACACAAAAGAAAATCTTGACTATGCACCCTTTTGAAAATATATAAATGAATATCAATGCCTAGGAGGAGTGACAAAGCTGGAAGCTTACCATAGCCCTTTCTGCAACTAAATGGCGAGGTAATTGCCTGAGAGTACCATCTATGTCACCAATTTCTTTATAATATTCCCTTACCTTGCTTATAATATTTCTTTGTATTTAGAACTTAAGTCAAGAAAACAACTGATAATTATATACCCGAGTTGAACGCAGACCTTCAAGTAGTCTAATATTAAAAACACTCTGCCAAAAAAGAATAAAATATCAAATGTTAAAAAAAAAGGATATCCCCTTCTCTTGGATCAAGAATAATGCTTGCAGCAGTTTTCCACTCTCCTCGCAGTAATGTAGCACCGATGTGGTGAGTTGGAATAGAGCCACTTCCAAAACGCTGGAAAATTATGAAGGTTTTAAGAAAATATATGAGAAAGAAGAAATAAGGAAAAGCGGGAAGAGAGCATGATCAAGGAAGTACTTGTAAACCAAAGTAGTTGATGAAGCCATGCCTTCCCAAGGACTCTGCAGATGCTTTAATAATATCTTCAGAATCTGCAACAACTCCTCTGAGGAGATAAATGAGTCCAATGAGTGATGGGTGTTAACATAATGAGACAACATAGAAACAGAATTCACAAGTGGGAAACTCTCACCGCAATGTGATGGTGAAACGGTTTCCCAAAAGCTGCCCAAGAAGGAGGTCATCCTTGACATAGCTGGATGATTATCGCAATATAAATAATGGTTCATAACACAATACCTTGATAGGAAGAGAAAGTTAAATCCATCATCCTTACCAAAAGTCTCCCATTTTTATACCAATCAACCTTTCATTAAGGGCAGCTAATCTACTCGCATGCTGCTTGAAAACAGTTACCTGGAAACCCAACAAAGTGCTCCACTTAAACATGATAAATTTTGCAGGGGAGAGAGAAAAAGGTACACACAACTGTACATGAATAAGAAAAATAAAATAGCCACAGACCATCCATTTTCTTCACACAGTGAAAGTGCTGGAGGTATTTAGAATGAAGAGAGAGCGACAAGCCATTAATCAGGCAGCAGCATTTTATTGCTTTATACTCTATACCCTTGAAATGAATACTAAATAGTTCAGCAAAACCATAAGGACCACAATGAACAGAAATGTCTCTTAAGAACATCTTTGACACATCCCAGTTCTTCTAGTACAAAGTTATTGGTTATAGATTCTCATTCTATGGATTGACAATTCAGCAATTTCTTTTTACTTTGTACTTCATAAAATTTCACCAAGTGACATCCACCCGTTGGTTTCTTCAAGATGCTAAAGACTAGATTTTACAAAAAATAGTTTAGAATATGATTAACACTACATCATGCGGGCTATTGCTCATATAATCTTCCAAAATGAGCTACACAATGCAAGACAGAGCAAGTAATATCCAACCAAAACACCGATTAATTTAGCACAAATGCAGTAAAACCAGGACCAACTTACCCTTTGGGTTGAAACTGAACGCTTATCTTTTGTACCCGCAAAACCAAATGACCTTGTCTGTCAAACAAAAGATCAATGCAAAAGGTTTTCACTGATTAGGTAACCACAGGGTTTCAATAAAACATTCCTCATACCTGAATGCCAAGCATCTTTCCAATTAATCCTAAAGCTTCCTGTGTATCTTTATTCTCCTTGAAAAGATGGAATCTGAATATTAACATAGACAATAGCACCTTCAAAATGTAGTTCAAGTGCAATACTAGACACTTCATGGCATTGATAGAAAACTAAAAATGATTATTTTCCCTACTATTTTAAAAGGGCATCAAATTAATTTAGAAGAGCAACATGCTACCTAAGGAACTTGCCAAGATGCTCTGGCCAGTGGCTTGAACCTCTACTATCATAGGGCTTATCACCTCTCTTCCTTTTATTGAAATTTCCTCCCCTGTTATTATTCCCAGAATTTAATCTCACGCGAATGCATTTTGAGGAAGAATCAGGTCCATCAATGGTGTCGGTGACAAGAAATCTAAGATTCTCTTTAAAGAAATTATGCATTGCCTGAAAATGTCAAAATAAAAATGAAAAGGCTCTTCCAATTAGTTTGATTCCCTCTTCACAATAGATTGAGTACAACCCTACACACGTCAAAGGTGCAGAAGGATTAATGGATAAATAAATTGGAAAAGAATAAAAAGCTTACTGTTCGATGAGATTTATCAGAGTCTGGAGATAGAACAATGGGGGAGATATCTTCTTCACTGCCTGAAGTAATTTGGTTAATTAAAGCTTCTAACTGATCCACATCAGTTTCACATGCAAGTGATCTGAATTTTTCAATTTCAGATGCATAACTTTTGTTAAATTGATCGGATGTCTTCGTTTCACCTTCCTCGAAAGCCAGAGTCTATATCAAAAAAGAAAATAAAAGAATATAATCTATTAACTTCACATAAACTAAATTTGAAAAAAAAATAATTTGAGTCAGATTACCTCTGGAGGGGCATCTAAAGTGGTCAAATGAACAACATTTCCTTCATTGTCTACTTCATTTACAATGAAATCAGAATACCTACAAAAAATATTCCCAAGCAAACAAATTACAAAATTTCACTGCCAACTGAAATTATAATCCATTTCATAACAAGGAAATCCCTCTCAAAACTTCCAATTTTCCTCCTTCCACATTTCTACCATTATTTTTAACAACAAAGAACCTCATTATATGTACAAAGACACAGCTACAAAGCACAGGTTTGTCATTCCGGCATCTTATTAAACAAACAGATTGCTAAGCATGCATACGAAAATAAACAAATTAAACATAAGGGTACTTGCAAAAGCATAAAAGCGGGTTTTAAAGGAATATTCTTTTTAAAAATGGAGCAAAAAAGAAGGGACTTTTCACCTTTGTTTGAGGATGCCACGAAAACCAGGAAGGTTAGAGATGAAACAGAGGATTCCCACATCGGATTCGGTTATGGTCGTCATTACAGTCAAGGAATTCGAGGACTTGTTGATTGGGGATTTTTTAAAGTTTGTTTTTGAAAATGAAAAGTAGTTCCTTTTGCGGTGGAAGTAACATTTATTGGGTTTTAGAATCGAGACGCCATTGCGCCACATTTCTTCTTCTGGTTTCCCAGGGTTTACTGGTCGCCTGTAATACGCTGCGTTTCACTGCTTTGATGGGGTTTTCTTCTCTGGTGACTTAGTGCTTTATTTTGGGCCTTTCAGGCCGTTGTATGGTTTCGGCATTTGACCAAGAAATAGGAAAACAGAGAGAAAGCCCATTGTCCTTCAACAATGGCACTGGCAATGATAACGAGTTGGAAGTGGAACCAAACACAACATAACAACAAGGGTAATCTATACATTTAATATCTTAATTATCAATTTTGTTTTATTTTAATATTTATATTTTCATTTATTTCAAAACTATACTTAATGTTTACTTTTTGTTTTATTCTACTCGTCGTTAAAAAATTATCGAAACTACTCGATATTGTATTTTTTATAGATAAATTATATCATTCATCACTTAACTATCTTCTTACTTCTATTTTGGTGATTAAAGTTTACAAATTTTCAATTTAACTACTTAACTTTCAAATTGCTTATGTTTTTAATCACTCTAATTTATTATATTAATCTTTTTTATGCTTGAAATTTATTATTATTATTATTTACTAATATATAATTAAAATAAATAAAATAAAATTTGAAAGTTAGAGTAATTAAATTAGGAGTAATTTGAAAGTTAAATAATTAAAATTAAAAAATTAAACTTCAGTGACTAAAATAGAAGTGAGAAGATGGTTGAGTGATGAATGATGTCATTACCCATAAAAAAGTTACATGTTGTACCAAAACTAAACAAAAAGTAAAAGTTAGGTATGATTTTGAAATAAATAAAAATTTAGGTACTAAAATGAAATAAAACTGATAATTTAAGTGCTAAATGTGTAGTTTACTCAAAAACAAATGAAAGTGTTCCAAAAGGCAAAAAAAACTCAATCAATTGTGACCCGTTTTAGAGATCCAAAACACCGGCACTAGTCAGAGATTCAGAGTAGAGAGAGAGAACCAAAAACAGAGCAAAAAAGGTAAACGACTGCCATCGAGAGAGAGAGACAAGGATGGTGAGTAAAACACAGGAGACCCAATTAAACAGGCTTGAAAACCAGGTAGACAATGGAGGAGGAGGTGCTTGGGAGTATCTTTGCCTTGTCAGGATGCTCAAAGTTAGACGTTCCGAGAAAGTCTTGAAGTATGGCTTATCAATCTTAAATGACCCCAAAAAAAGATCTGCTCTTGGCCCTGAAGGTTGGTCTTTCTTTTTTTTCTAGCTCTGGTTGGTTTCTGAAATTGGGTTGTGCTTGAATTCGATGATTCCAAAGTGTTTGATTTTAATTTTGAGTTTTTCTTGTCATTAGATTTGTTTTGGTTTTAGAGCTCTTTGCTCTTTATTTATTTGCTAAACTTTAGTTTTAATTGAATTTCACAAATTGAAGCTTTATGGATTGCTGCCCTATTATTCATTGGCTTGAAACTTTGTGGTTTTTTTGTATGCTTTGATCTGTTGGATTTTGATTTCAAGTGGTGTGTTTAAACCAAATTGTTGTCTATTTATGTTACTTGTTACTTCTGTTAATTTATGCCGCAGATTCGTCAACATGTCTAATTACTAACAACTACTGATATCTTGATGCAGAATGGACTCTATATGAGCAGGTAGCTATTGCTGCTATGGATTGTCAATGTCTAGATGTTGCAAAGGTGTGATCTTGTCTGTTGAGTTTTTCCATTTATGTACAGACTATCCTGTTCTTTTACCTATTCAATTTGTGATTACCCATGGGGTTGACCATTTTCATGTTGTTATGGTTTCTCTTTTGCTATTAGTTCCTTATAGCTGTTAGTTTCTTGCATTGTTTGTTCAATCGATAACTAGAAAAAGGATTATGAAGTTCTAGCTCTGGTAGATGCTCTAGTTATCGATTAATAGTAGGTTTATGAAGTTGCCTGACATAAGTTTGTGTGATTTAATATTGTATTGCAGGATTGCATAAAGGTTTTGCAGAAAAAATTTCCAGAGAGCAAAAGGGTTGGTAAGCATAAAAGACAATTAAATACATACCTTGCTGTTTATTTATATGTGAACCATACATTTCTGGCCTACCCCTCCGAGACGCTCCTTAAATTAAGCGTGTGTTCTGAAGATCTCGGCCTATGCTCTACCTACCAATAGCTTTAGGCATGAATACGGATGGATGAATTTGTTCATAAATTAGTTCCGATTCTTTTTTATTAGAAAGGATGTGTGCTGATGACTGTATCCCTTTGCTCTTCTCATGTAATGACCTAGTGGTTTTGTTTTGTCACGGTCAACAGGCAGGCTAAATGGCATGTTACTTGAAGCAAAGGGATCCTGGGCTGAGGCAGAAAAAGCTTACTCGAGCCTTTTAGAGGACAATCCGCTTGATCAAGTAAATTCTGCAGCCAGTTCTCAATCCCCACCCCCTTTCTCTCTCCTCTCTCAAAAGAGTGAATCTTAATCATGTTCTTTTTCTTTATCGAGAAATGTTGTGCAAAAAGGATTAATGATAAAATATTCTATTCTCATGCAGGTAATACATAAGCGGAGAGTATCCATGTCAAAAGCTCAAGGAAATATTTCAGGGGCTATTGAATTGCTTAATAAATATCTCGAAATGTGAGATATCTCTTTACGTTCATAGATTTTCTGTCTTTCCTTTATTGGTCATGTTTCCTAATTCGATAATCTGCTCAAGAGCAAATGTTTCTCAATTTCTGCTCTTCTTTTGCTAGATTCATGGCCGACCATGAGGCTTGGAGAGAACTTGCAGAGATATATGCCTCCCTTCAAATGTGAGTGTTAATTTATGGAACTCAATCTTATCTCCCGAACGTTGCCAATTCATAACATACCAGGTAGCTTAAGCCTTTTCGCTTTTGTTGATAAATCAGGTACAAGCAAGCGGCATTCTGCTATGAGGAGCTTATTTTGTCTCAACCTACAGTTCCGTTATATCATTTGGCCTATGCTGATGTAAGTGTCTTCTTTAATATATTTCGAATATAGGATGCAATTTCATTAGGGTTTCTTATATTCCAAGTTCTCTACATAATAATGTTCTGTAGCTCGTTTCATCAGTGTTTTCTTTAATGAGTTTAGGCTTTTCCCTTTTCATAAGTAGTCCACCTAACCGAGAACTAGTTCCATAGTAATTACAATTCTGCAAAAAATATAAAGACTGTAATTCGAAGAATCACTTCCATAGTTGTTACCATTATGTAAGAATACAAGGACCATGAATTCATCTTAGAACAGCAATGGTGCCTGACTAACCAAGGTCCAAGAAGGTAACTTCTTGATGGAGGTTATGGATATCGGTTTGACATAATGACTTCTAGCTGGTACACTTTTAGTTCTCGTAATTATTGTTTCGATGATAATGTATCATACCTTTCAACAACAGGTGCTCTACACACTCGGTGGACTAGAAAACCTTCAAACTGCAAAGAAATATTATGCATCCACTATAGACTTGACTGGGGGTAAGAATACCCGAGCACTTTTCGGAATTTGCTTGGTAAGCTCCTTATCTTTCATTTAAGATTTTAAGGTGCACTACTATTTATTAGATACATGCATCAGCTTTTTATCCTTATAATAACCGAAATATTATTAAAACTAGTTTTGCTCTCGTCCCGTGTCCTCAGAATTTATCTTTCTAACATGAAGTTTGATCCTCTTATTCAGTGCACCTCAGCCATAGCACAGGTTTCGAAAGGAAGGAACAAGGAAGACAAGGAGAGTCCGGAGCTCCATTCTTTGGCAGCAACAGCCTTGGAGAAAGACTATAAGCAGAGAGCCTCCGATAAACTCGGTTTGCTTACTTCTGCTTTAAGAAGTTTGAAAACTTAGTCTCAGCACATATGACTTCATTCGAACACTTGCATTATTGCCACATACTCTAGAATAGAAGAAAAAAGGGGTTTAATATGGTTTTTCTGTTTTAAAGATTCGAAATTTCTCAGCCTTCGATAAATTTGAGTTACGAGTCGCCATTCATGCGTGCTTTCCGTTTTCTTTTGCCGTTCTTGTCATCTATATGAGGTTTTGATGTATCATTTAGGAGCTGCCATAACGAAACTAGAAAAACTTATGATTCTTTTTCTTTCTTCCTCTTGATTTCAGTTCGCAAGACTCGAGTACGAGTGTCGGACACGAAAATCTGTTCGACACAAGTATGTTAATCTTTTTAATGTATTTGGATGGTTTTTGAAAGATTATATTATGTTCTCATAATCCTGACATGCGTTGATCATGAGCTTTTCAAGAAAAATGGTGGGAGGAAATTTACTTGGTTAAAGAAAATAGGACTTTCAATCAAACGGTTCACACAATCAAAATCAACTGTTATATTTCACTTCTCCATTTGATAAATGACAGAAGAAACCCTTTAAATTCTAAACTAAACTATGTATTTGGTCATTCACGTGGTTCTGTTTTGGTATTAACTGTTTTTTTGTATTTAACGTTACGTCTTGATCACCTATTATTAAAAAAATAAATAGACTGTTAATATGATTATTATTTTTTAATAATGAAGTAGTATTATCTTATGACGATAAGTCAGTGTCATTATTAACTTTTTAATGATAGGTGATTAAAACGGAATAAAACGTAACATTAAGTATGATTTTTAAAAAAAATATATAACGGAATCATTAAAATAAGTCGATACTTAAAAATTTATTTGATACCATGAAGATTGTTAGAATTGAATTAGTTAAGTCAAAAATCGATAAATCTCGTAATTTTTACATTGAAAGCAAGAATGATATTTTTATTTTTTTATTCTTTTAGGGGTGATATGTATCATCATCTAATTGGTTAAATAAAATTAATTGAAAATATCGACAAAATTAACAAATATTATTCGAGATTTTTTAAAGAGATTTGAAATGATTATCTTTTTTCCCCCGACCGAATTAGTATATGTGTGATGTGTTTTCTCGTTGCACATTTTTAAGAAAACGCACACAATTTTATATTGGTCCCTAAACTTTTAAATATTTTAATTTCATCCTTAAACTATTACTATCATTTTAAATTAGTTCTAAAACTTTTGTGCATTGCAATTTCATCCCCAAATTATGACATTCATTCCAAATTAGCCCTCAAACTTTTTAAACATTCCAATTTTATCCCAAACAATATGTATATATCACGTACCTTGTTAATAAATCGTTAGGCCAAGTTATATTATTATATGTTTGAAAAAAAACAAAATTTAGGTTAAAATATGGTTGAAATTAATTACATATTTGGATGAATTTGGGGATAAAATTGGAAGATTCAAGAGTTCAAAGACCAATTTAGAAAGAGGGTCATAGTTTAGGGATAGAATTAGAATATGCAAAAAGTTTAAGGACTAATTTAGAATGATTCCTAATTTGATGATAAAATTGAAATATTCAAAAATTTAAGGACTAATTTAAAATAAAGATTATAGCTTGGGGATATATTTTGCAATTAACTCTTTATATATACATAATCATCTAGTACATAATTAATACACAATTAGGGGGTGTTTGGATGGGGGAATGTAGGATTCCCATGGGAATGGAATCCACATTCCCTCGTTTGGTTAGCCGGGAATCTCATTTCCGGTAATGTAAGATTATCAATAGTGAATTTTTTTGGGTATATTACCGGGAATGTCATTACCTCCCTTTCTTTAGGTATTGTTGGATTACAGATGTTTTGGATTAAAATGCCCTTAATTTTTTTTTCAAAAATATTATTTTTCTATCGTTGAATAATAAAAATTTTACGAATGTTAAATTACAAATTTATCCTTAAACTATTTTAGATTTACAAAAAAAAAGTCTATAATTAAAATTTTATATGAAGTTCAGGGGTTAAAATAAAATTTTACCATTTCATTAAACCTTTTTATATTTTCAATTTTGTAAAAAAATTATATAAATTTTATGAATTTAAATTTGTTAAAGAAAATATATAAATATTTTTCAACTTGTTAAAAAACAAATATATAATAAGGACAATTTGGTTAAATATATATTCCAATAATCTTTTATTCTTTTAACCAAACATGGTAATCTTACATTCATGTTAAACCAACCAAACACAAAATACAACATTCTCAGTAATCCTATTCTCTGGTAATCTTACATTCCGTGAACTAAACGTCATGCATCTTAGAATTTAGATTTAACCAAACATGGTAATCTTACATTCATGTTAAACCAACCAAACACAAAATACAACATTCTCAGTAATCATATTCTCTGGTAATCTTACATTCCGTGAAGCAAACGCCATGCATCTTAGAATTTAGAATCTAACAAATGGTTTCTAGTCATATTTGTCGGAACCCTTGATTGCACTTCCTTTTCAAAGATCTCGTCGATAAATCACCAGTGAGGCCATCGATGAGCCACCGGTGAGGTCAGTGGTAGGAGGGTCAACCTGTCAAGGGAAAGGATGGATGAGAGTGTAGTTTGGAGTTTAGGATGTAAGTTGAGAATTTAGGGTTTGAATATAAAATTTAAAGGTATAATTTAGAATTTTTTTTAAAAAATATTTTAATTATATTTGGTATTAAAATATTAATAAAATATGGCACAACATGTGAAAAAATAATACAATAATTCATGTTTGTGTTGAGTGATAAAAAAAATTTAATCTATAAAGTTTAGTAAGTAAATTAAAAAAATTAAAAATATGAAATAAGAGAGAAAGTAAACTTTAATAATGAATGATGTAGTTTATCAAAAAAGCTTGTTTACCCTTCTAGAAAACCGAAAGTAACATTCTACCAAGCTATTCAAAAAGTTTCATCGATAAACAAAAACAATGTTGAATCAAACTGCGGACATGAATGGAGTTATAGGTGTACATAAAAGTTCGAATATCTGATTTTGTGTAACAAATATCTGAAATCAAATTTGAAAAAAATCGGTTTTTTTTAAATATATCAAATATTTAAAAAATCGGATAGTATAACCGATTTGAGAAAAAATTAGACGATCGATTTTTTTACTGGATTAAAAATTGATTTAAAAAAAACCGAATAAAAATCGATTTTTATCCGAAAAAAACTGACGTATATATATATATATATACCGTACGAACCAATTTTTTAACCAAAAATATATATTACAGAAATTATTTTAAAATGTAAAAAGGCCATACCTCCAAGCACCACCCACGAGGAGACAAAGGTTCAACTCCCCGAGGCTCTACGAGACCCATGCTTTGGCACCTGGAAAACAACAATATGAGGCAACCATTACATATTTACAATTCATTGGAAAGGTACCAACAATAAACTAATAAGTAATAATGTATTATGCATCCAACGATCCAAATCCAAGGTAAAGTTTCACGCACATATTCATTGGATTTGAAGCTTTGCATCATTCATCTGCTTCGTGTATCCAACCATCAATTTATTTATTTTCCTCTCTATTACTCGAGTATTTGCATGTTCTGTTTCAAGCATTTGTAATTTTAATAATATTAAAATCGGTTTTTTTATATTCAGTTTTTTTAAAAATCGGTTTTTTTCAAATCGAAACCGGTTACACAATCCGACCTTTCAAACCGATTAGGATCCGAACTGATTTTTTTAAAATTCGGTTTTTTGGTTAAGAGAAAAAATCGGATCGATTTTTATCCGATCCGGATCGAATTTAAATCCAACTTTGTGCATCCTAAATGGAGCTATAATTGTATACACCTTTTTTGTTTGGGTTTAAAAATATTAATTATTATTATTATTATTAATTTTGTTTACATTACATGCCCGACATCCAACACCCAAGACCCAAATACAGTCATCCCAGAGTCCAATTATAGTCAGCCCAGTAGTCCAGTTACGAGCAGACCCGACTTAGACCAGGGGACCCGAACCGATTGAGAAGCCCAACAGCCGACCCTAGATCCGGTTCAGATCTGAACCGACCCATGATGCAACCATATTTTTTTAGGGTTTATTTTCTTCATCAACAGCAGCAGCCACCGTTGACTATTCATCTCCCATCGCCGACGTGTGTGATACATGCGCTCCTCAAGACCGGCACGTGAGTCGCCGTCGAGTCATCCCGAGTCGCTGTCGTCAACAAACATGTGAAAAATGCACTCAAATTATTATCTACAGTAAACAAATCCACTAAACCATTTTTAAATATCTAAATCCCAAAAAATCTGGGATTTCACTGAACCCAAATCAATAAACCACCATTCCACTATCTTAGATGTCAGTATCTCACCAAATAAAGCAAAATGGTTAATATTTTTAATGTATTTGGATGGTTTTTGGAATATTATGTTATGTTCTCATAATCCTGACATGCGTTGATCATGGGCATTTCAAGAAAAATGGTGGGAGGAAACTTACTTGGTTAAAGAAAATAGGACTTTCAATCAAACGGTTCACACAGCCAAAATCAACTGTTATATTTCACTTCTCCATTTGATAAATGACAGAAGAAGCCTTTTAAATTCTAAACTAAACTATGTATTTAGTCATTCACGCGGTTCCGTTTTGGTATTAACTATTTTTTTTATTTAACGTTACGTCTTATGGTGACATATCAATGTCATTATTAACCTTTTAATGATAAGTGATTAAAACGGAACAAAATATAATATTAAGTATGATTTTTTTTTAAAATATAACGGAATCATTAAAATAAGTCGATACTTAAAAATTTATTTGATACCATGAAGATTGTTAGAATTGAATTGAATTGAATTAGTAAATGTTATGTGTTTTCTCGTTGCACATTTTTATTTCGTTTTTTTCCATGTTTGAATTCCTATGAATAGCATATTTACTTCTCTTTTATTTTTTTTCTTTGAAAATTACTTCTCACTTTTATATATGAATTAATTGCATCGTATATCCTCAAAGTGTAACTCTCATTCTATATTGGTCCCTAAACTTTTAAATGTTTCAATTTCATGCCTAAACTATTACTATCATTCTAAATTAGTCCTAAAACTTTTGGACATTGCAATTTCATCCCCAAACTATATGTGTATATCACGTCCCTCGTTAATAAATCGTTAGGCCAAATATTATTATATGTTTGAAAAAAAACAAAATTTGGGTTAAAATATTTTGAAATTAAT